CCTTGTCTCTACCGGTCTGCAAGTCTGTGCCCCATCCCCAGTGCGGGAGGCTTTTGCTCACCAGTGGTGCAGGATCCTGAGGTCTCCCTCACCCTTCCATTTATCTTCCAATATCTGCCCACAGAATCAAGGTTCCCTGCTTCATACCTTGAAACCAATCACCTGCGATATTCTGTTTGTAGAGATCCAGATCTATCTTCTTACATTTCAGGCTGATGTTATGGGTGTTCAGAGTGGTCTGGTAGATATCCAGCTCAATTCAGGGGGCCAGTTGGAATAGGGTCCCCTGCTACCCCACCATCTTTTTTTTCTCCCGGACTTTATCTCTCCTTCTATTCTGAATGATAGCCTTGCCAGATAGAGTATTCTTGGCTGCTGATTTTTCCCTTTCAGCATGTTGAATATATTGTGCCATTCTCTTCTGGCCTGCAAAGTTTCTGCTGAAAAATAAGCCTGATAGCCTTATGAAGTGTCCTTTGTATGTAACTGTCTTCTTTTCTCTTGCCACCTTTACAATTATTTATCACTCTTTTTTTTTTTAATTTACTATTTTAATTAACATGTGTCTTGGTGTGGACCTCTTTTGGAACTCTGCTTTCTGAATCTGGGTCTCTGTTTCCCTCCCCAGATTTGTGAAGTTTTCAGCTATTACTTCTTCAAATACATTTTCTGCGCCTCCCTCCCCTTTCTCTCTCTTCTCCTTCTTTAGTCCTTATAGTATAAATGTAATTATGCTTGATGGAGTCTTTGAGTTCTCTGAGTCTATTCTCACTATGCAGTATTTGTCTCTCACATGTTCAGCTTGCTTGCTTTCCATTACTCTATACTCCAGGTCACTGATACATTCCTCTGCTTCCTGTAGTCTTCTGTTTATTCCATCTGTTGTATTTTTAACTTCATTTATTAAGTTCTTCATTTTTGATATTTTATATCTCTTTGTCAAGGCTTTTAATGATATCCTCCACTTTCTTCTGAAGTTCAGTGTATCCTTGTATGATCATTATTTTAAATTCTCTATCAGACATATTATTTATTTCTGTTTCACTTAGATCTCCTGCTATGATTTTGTCATGTTTTTCATTTGGGACATATCTCTCTGTCTCCTCATTTTGTCTACCTCTCTGTGTCTATTTCTGTATGTTAGGAAAGTCAGTTACATCTTCTGCTCTTGAAAGTAGTGGCTTTATGAAGAAGAGGTCCTGTAGTGCCCTGCAGTGCAGTGTCCCCTGATCACCAGAACCTGGCACTTCAAGGGAGTCTCTTATGTGTGTTGCTTGCATCATGCTGTTGTGTTTGAGTTGCTTTTTCTTTCACTCCAGATGTCTGCATTGGCTCTCTGCCTGTTGTGGGCTGTGCTTGCTCTCTGTGGTGTTAAGGGGACCCAGGCAGACTGGCTCTGAGGGGATGTGACTGCAAGAGGTCTCAAGGGTGGGGCAGTGGTGTTAGCAAAATTTGCACTGAGCTGCTAGTCATAGGCCAGGTTCCTTATAGTGTGGTGGCCACCCAGCATGGCATGTGTTTGTGTGGCTATATTCTTGAGGCAGCTGCATGGGGCATGTGTGGAGTTAACGAAACTTGCACTGAGCCCAGGGCTGAGGCCAGCAGGCTTGGACTGTGTGGTTCCTCAGAAGAACTTGTGGACAGGGAACACTGCTAGCAAGTTAGGTAGCGTGTATCAGCGCCGTGCCATCTCCCACAGGTGCCTCTATGTTTATGCTAGATTGCAAGAGAGGAAAATGGCAACTGCCAAATCTTTTGTTGCTGGAGAAGTCCCCCAGCACACTCTGAAATTAGTATAAACTGATCTCCCTCTCATTTGCCCTTCTGTTGTGCAGTCACTTCTGTGCTCTCTCTCTGAGAGAGGCTATCTCTTTAAGGTTGAGGACCCATCTATTACTCACCCTCCTGGCTCACCCAGTGCTGAGTCAGCTGACTTTTGAAGTTCCAGGCTCCAAGTTCTGCTGGTTATACAAACCCATGGAATTCAACCTCTCTGGTTTTCATAGCAGATGTTATGGGGATTCACTCCCCCCCACCCCCCATGTGGGACCCCTGGTCCTTTCCCTTCTCAGAGCTGGCAGCTTCCCTTTTCCTGTGGGCAGCTCCTGACCACCATTTGTGCCCTTCCTAATCTCTCTGATGTAGCTTCTTCTCTACATTTAGTCACGGGGTTTATTCGGCGAGTCTTTGGGTCACTCTCTGGGGTATTAATGGGATGAGAGTGATGTCTAGTTGTAAACATGGGATGAGGTAAGCTTAGGGTCCTCCTACTCTGCCATCTTCCCAAGCTTAAATTCCATTTATTTTTCTTTAAAAGTCACTGGAATCTCTAGTGATATTACTTCTTTTATCTCTGATATAATTTGTGTTTTCTCTTTTTTTTTCTTAATCATTCCAACTTGGGTTTTATCAAATTAATTGATTTTTTTAAAGACTGTATTTAATTTTATTGGCTCTCATCACTTGTCTAGTTTGTTTTCTTAATTTTACACGTAGTTTAGGGTAAACTATTTTTTCCCCTAGATTTTTAATGTGAAAATGCAAATATTTAATTTTAAACCTTTTTTCTTTTTGTTTAAGCCCTTTAAAGCTATACGTTTCCCTCTAACTGCAGCTTCAATTATATACCATACATTTTGATATTTTGTATTTATTTTTTATTTGGTTAAAATATTTTCATTTTCTTTGTGATTCTTTTTTTGTCTAGTGGGTTGGTTTAGAAGTATGTCAATTGATTTTCAAATATTTGTGGATCATCTAGATGCCTTTTCATTATTAATTTCTGATTTAATATTTATTGTTTTAGATGTACATATCTTGAAGTTCATTGTGACTTATTTAATAATAGTAACTGTTTTTATCCTTTTGTTTCCCATTTTTGCCTGATTATCTCCCTGCTGTGCAAACTTCACAGAGAGAGTATGTGTTGAAGTGTTGTATTTCTTTTTCAGTTAGTAATTGAAATGCTCTAATAACTTCTCCAGAGGTATATTTGAACAAAGGTTTTATTAATCTTATTTCTGAGTGTTGCTTCTTCTAAAAAACATGCAGATATTGGACTCATGTTTTGTTTATGGATTAAGCAAAAGATGATCTATCCTAGTATTCCGTACCTCACTGTAATGAGAACACTGCATCCTGCTGTCAATGCTTTGCAATTTTGTGGTGAGTGGTGAGAAAATGAGTGTTTGAAATGTGCTTAAAACAGCAACATCCTGATTGAGATCTGTATTTATTGGGATGGCATTTGTATTTAGATTTGAGTCCAAGTTACAGAAATCCTAAAGTAATAATGGCTTAAAGAAAAGTTCATTTTATTTTGGGCAATTAGCATTCTATTAATTGCATGGCATTTCGCTGTATAATTTCACATTAATTTCTACACAGTGGCTTTCTTATCCAAGATCAACTCATAGCTCATGATGGAAGCTTTAATTATAACATTTAACCAAAATTAGAGTCACGAATAGAATGAAAACATGGCTGTCCACATTACTTTCTAGAATTTAAACATATGGTTTTGTTTTAGACCAATTATCTGACCTTTATACATGTATACGCCTAACTTTACAAAAGGCCAAGAAATGTAATGATTGTACAAGTCCTGTATTCAACTGAAAATCAGAAGTTCTATTATCAAGGAAAAATGAGAGAATGGGAATGTCCAACAAATGTTTGCAAAGATTCAAGCTGCAAATAAATTCTTTAGTTGGATATAATTATGATTGATACTTTTTTTCAATGACAACATTAATTTTACTACTAGGAAGTGTATCCCCTACAAACCAATTACACATTATAAACATATCTTGCATTGCCTAGTTTTAAATAATATAATGCTGTATCACTTTTTCATCTTTTGGTTTTGGGTATTTAGATAGAAATCATCTGAATTATTTGCAATGTAACAATAAATCCATTATTTGTGGTTATTATAACTGGAGTATGTTCAATTAGGATGTGACCTCCAAAAAAAATTGGTAATTCATTAAAAAAAATCCCCAATTTGTTCATGATTCTCATGTAAATAACATTTCCCTGTCCTAACCCAAAGGACTATGATTTGAGTCTATTGCCTTAAAATCCAACAACTTCACATTAGCTATATCTTCCATCAAATTATAAATTTATGAATATAATCTTTTCACATGTTAATACTATTCAGAATAACAAAAGTCATAATGTAACAGAAACCAAAGAATGTACTATTTACAACAGATGGTTTCCACATAGACTCATTTATTTAAAAATAAAAAATCATGAGATCTCTACTCTGTGCTAGAGAAGAAAGGGATTGGAATGCCTTTTCTCTCAGAACTAAAAACTCTTAAGAGAAGGTAAGAGCAAAAAAATAATATTTCAGTTGTTAATAAATATTTTAAAGAAAAATGTCACTAAAAGAATAAAGAGTAGTAATTTAAAATAAATAATAAATAAATAATAAAGAGTAGTAAATTTAAAAGAGTAGTATTTTAGATGTGTGCTTAGAAATGTTATCTCTGTTTGAATAAAGAATTGGATACTGGACTCGAGTTTAGACAATATATTTAAGTTAGAGAAACAGCTATCTGAGCTGTCAGGTATAGGTGTTATCCAAAATGCAGTACTGAATAAGATTACCTATGAATAAATATAGATAAAAGAAGCAAAAAGCCCAATCTCTTTTGTTAATACAGGCTATTATAATATTTAGGAGTCATGAAAAGAAAAAGAAGCAACAAATGAAACAGATGGAGTACTTTGTGAGGTAGGAGCTATAAGAGAAAATAATGTCATGAGTGAGTGTAATATAAGAAACAATAAAATTGTATTAATTCTAACTAAAATATGTAATATAAGGTCTTGCACAGTTAATTTCCTTTGTACAGAAAATGAAAGTTTGACACTAACAAAATTGAGCATTTGACTCTTGCAGAATGCTATTAAATAGCTTTATTCCCAGTCTAGGCAATTTATGATGCAATACTTAGATAAAAATTTGAAGTTTGATATGTGTTTAGTCATTCCAGTGGTGTGAAGATCTTTAGTAACTGTAGCATGGAGGATTTTGCACAATTTATTTCAAAGCCAAAGTCCCAATGTCTTCAAAATCAGCCACACTTAGATCCATCATACAAAGCTGCGGTTTGTGGTAATGGACAAGTGGAACAAGGAGAACAATGTGACTGTGGAAGTGCAGAGGTTAGTACCAATTTGGAAGAATATATAGCAGAATTACATGAAAAATTAGAAACAAATTTTTATAGTATAATGCTGGATTTTCCCTAATACATCAAAATCACTTTTATATTGTAATAAGCTGACGAATGTATTTATATATCAGTATATGGATTCAGTGGTTTGTAGATTATCCAAACAGGTGATTTTCAAGGTCATTAATTCTCTGAGTCATCCTAGGTTTTACTTTCCCGCTTGAGTGTGTTCTTCCTGAATACAGGCATACCTCAGAGATATTGTGGGTTTGGTTCCTGCCACCACATTAAAGTGAATATCACAATAAATTTTGGTCTCCTTGTGCATATAAAAGTTATATGTTTATACTATCCCATAGTCAAGTAAGTGTGAAATAGAATTATGTTTAAAAAAGGAGGTTCGTATCTTAATTAAAAAATACTTTTTTTTTGGTAAATACACTTGCTGATACATTTCTTTTTTTTTTCCTAAAAAAATGCTAATGATATGAACTTTCAGCAAGTCATAACCTTGCTTTAATGCTGATGGCTGCTGACTGATCAGGCTGGTGATTGTTGAAGGTTGGGGTGGCTGTGGCAATTTCTAAAATAAGACAACAATGAAGTTTCCTTCATTGATTGACTCTTTCAAGAACAGTTTCTCTGTAAGCATGTGATGGTGTTTGATGATGTTTTACTCACAGTAGAATTTCTTTCAAATTGGAGTCAATCCTCTCAAACCCTGCTGCTGTTTAATCAATTAAATTTATGTAATATTCTTTTTTATTATTTTTTATTAACATATAATGTGTTATTTGTTTCAGGGGTACAGGTCTGAGATTCATCAGTCTTACACAATTCACAGTACTCACCATAGCCCATACCTTCCCCAATGTCCGTCAGCCAGCCACCCTATCAATCCCACCCACCTCCACTCCAGCAACCCTCAGTTTGTTTCCTGAGATTAAGAATCTCTTATGGTTTATCTCCCTCTCTGTTTTTGTCTTGTTTCATTTTTTCCTCCCTTCCCCTATGATCCTGTTTTGTTGCTCAAATTCCTCATATCAGTAAGATCATATGACACTTGTCTTTCTCTGTTTGACTTATTTCGCTTAGCAAAATACCCTCTAGTTCCATCCACATCATTGCAGATGGCAAGATTTCATTTTTTTGATGGCTGCATAATATTCCATTGTATATATATATATATACCACATCTTCTTTATCCATTCATCTGTTGATGGACATCTAGGCTCTTTCCATAGTATGGCTATTGTGGACATTATTGCTATAAATATCAGGGTGCATGTGCCCCTTTGGATCACTACATTTGTATCTTTGGGGTAAATACCCAGTAGTGCAATTGCTGGGTCATAAGGTAGCTCTATTTTCAACTCTTTGAGGAATCTCCATACTGTTTTCCAGAGTGGCTGCACCAACTTGCATTCCCACCAACAGTGTCGGAGGGTTCCCTTTTCTCTGCATCCTTGCCAACATCTGCCATTTCCTGACTTGTTAATTTTAGCCATTCTGACTGGTGTGAGGTGGTATCTCATTGAGGTTTTGATTTGTATTTCCCTGATGCTGAGTGATGTTGAGCACTTTTTCATGTGTCTGTTGACCATTTGGATGTCTTCTTTGCAGAAATGTCTGTTCATGTCTTCTGCCCATTTCTTGATTGGATTATTTGTTCTCTGGGCATTGAGTTTCATAAGTTCTTTATAGATTTTGGATACTAGCCCTTTATTTGATATGTCATTTGCAAATATCTTCTCCCATTCTGTCAGTTGTCTTTTGGTTTTGTGGACTGTTTCTTTGCTGTGCAAAAGTTTTTTATCTTGATGAAGTCCCAATAGTTCATTTTTGCCCTTGCTTCCCTTGCCTTTGGCGATGTTTCTAGGAAGAAGTTGCTGTGGCTGAGGTTGAAGAGGTTGCTGCCTGTGTTCTCTTCAAGGATTTTGATGTATTCCTGTATCACATTTAGGTCTTTCTTCCATTTTGAACCTATTGTTGTGTGTGGTATAAGGAAATGGTCCAGTTTCATTCTTCTGCATGTAGCTGTCCAATTTTCCCAACACCATTTGTTGAAGAGCCTCTCTTTTTTTCCACTGGATATTCTTTCCTGTTTATGTAATATTCTAAATCTTTTGTCATTTGAACAATCTTCACAACGTCTTCAGTGGGAGTAGATTCCATCTCAAGAAACCACTTTCTTTGCTTATCCATCTGCAGCAACTCCTCAACTGTTAAGATTTTATCATGAGATTTCAATGATTCAGTCACATCTTCAGGCTTCACTTCCAATTCTAGTTTTCTTGGTATTTCCACCACCTCTATAGTTACTTCCTCCACTGAAGCCTTTACCCCCTCAAAGTTATTCATGAGGGTTGGAATCAACTTGTTACAAATTTCTGTTAATGCTTTCTAAATGCTTTTCATGGTACCTAGTATGGTGAGTCCTTTCCACAAAGTTTCAACATTTTTTGCTCAGGTCCATTAGAGAAATCACTATGTATAGCAATTATAACCTTATGAAATGTAAGTTGAAGTTACTTCTTGATCAATGGACTGCAGAAGGGATGTTGTGTTACCAATCATAAAAACAACATTAATCTCATTGTACATCTCTATCAGACCTCTTGGGTGACCAGGTGCATTGTCAATGAGCAGTAATATTTTGAAAAGATTCTTCTATTCTGAGCAATGTGTCTCAACAGTGGTCTTAAAATATTAACTAAACTTGGTGGAGCAAGATGGCATAGGAGTAGGAGACCTGGATTTCGTCTGGTCTCAGGAATGAACTGGATAAGGATCAAACATTCTGAACAACTATGAACTCGACAAGAGATCGAAGAAAAGAATAGCAACAACTCTCTGAACAGAAAAGCAACCACTTTCTGAAAGGTAGGACATGCAGAGAAGTGAATCCGAGGCGATATTCAGGAGGTTAGACAGCAGGGGAGGGGGCCTCTGTCTGCTGCTTCTGACAAATGATAGAGCAGCAGAGCACAAAATTGGAACTTTTAGAAGTCGGCTCCGCTGAGGGACGTCACTCCAGTGGCTAAGCAGGGGGTGGAACCGACGTGAGACAGTGTGGTCTTAGGACCCTCGGGGTCACAGAAAGACTGGGGGTGATGAGTGCGGCAGAGCTCCCAGGTATCGGAGCAGGAAAGCCAGCTTCAGAGACAGAGCAGAGGTGTGGGCTCTCAGCTCAGGGTTGCCATAAACTGTTATCTGTGGCACAGTCGGGCCACTGATCTTCCATCAGGGACCCAACAAGCGCAAATCGGGGGAGACTTCCCTTCCTCCCCTGGGAGGAGTGGAGCAGGAGCGCAACACAGGAATCTGCTGCGTTTGGAGACTCCACACAGGGTCGTGTGCCAGAGATAGAAACTCTCGGTCACAGGCCAGGTGAGCACGGAGTGCGGCCAGAAACCGGGAAGACAGGAGTGATTGCTTTTCTCTGGGAGCACACTGAGGAGTGGGGCCCTGCATTCCTGGCTCTTCTGAGGCAGAGATTGGGAGGCCACCATTTTCCCTCTTCTCCTCCAAAGCTGTACAGAAAGCTTGCAGGGAACAAAAGCTCCTGAGAGCAAACCTGAGCAGATTACTTAGCCCAGACCCGCAAGGGTGGGGCAATTCCACCTCTGGCAAAGACATTTGGGAACCATGGCAACAGGTCCCTCTCCCAAAAGATCAGCAAGAACAGCCAGCCAAGACAAAATTTACTGGATCAATGAGAATGGCAGAACTCCAGCGCTAGAGGAATACTGCATATAGAATTCATGGTTTTTTTAACAATGATTCTTTAGTCTTTCAAAGTTAATTTTTTTTAAACTGCTTTTTTAAAAATTTTTCTTTTTCCCTTTTTCAACCAACATCTGATCAATCCCTTTTTTTCTTCTTAACATAAATTGCATTATTTGTTTCAGAGGTACAGATCTGTGATTCAACAGTTTTGCACAATTCACAGTGCTCACCATAGCACATACCCTCCCCAATGTCTATCACCCAGCTACCCCATCCCTCCCACCTCCCACCACTCCAGCAACCCTCAGTTTGTTTCCTGAGATTAAGAATTCCTCATATCAGTGAGGTCATATGATACATGTCTTTCTCTGATTGACTTATTTCACTCAGCATAACACCCTCCACTTCCATCCATGTTGTTGCAAGTGGCAAGATCTCATTCCTTTTATCAATCCCTTTTTTAAAAAACATTTTTAGTTTTCATTTTTAGAGTCATATTCTAACCTTTCATAGTAGTTACCCTTATTTTTGGCATATATGTATAAGTTGTTCTCTCTTTAAAATTTTGAGATACAGTTCCTTCTAACAGATCAAAATATACCCTAAATCTCTAGTGTATGGCTTTGTTCTAGTCACCTGCCTGATCACATTCTCTCCCTTTTTTTAAAAATCCTCTTCTTTTTTCAAACAACTTCTCATCTTATCAATTCCTTTTATAAAATTTTTTATAATTTTCATCTTTACATTCATATTCCATCCCTTCATCATATTTACCCTTATTTTTGTACATATATAAGTTTTTCTTTCTTAAAATTTTGGGGGGCACTTTCTGCTAACAGACGAAAATACACCCAAAATATAGTGTGTGGCACTGATCTATGTACCAGCCTGATCATATTAGATAATATTCTGTTTTATTTTTGTTTTATTCTGTTTTTGTTTGTTTTTAACTTCTTGTTTGTTTTTATTTTTTTTTCTTTTTTCTTTCTTTCCCTTTCTTTTCCCCTGGTTTCAGGTCTATTCTGATTTGTTTAGAGTATATTTTGGGGGAACATTGTTACCCTGTTAGCATTTTGTTCTCTCATTCATCTATTCTCTGGACAAAATGACAAGACAGAAAAAAATCACCTCAACAAAAAGAATGAGAGGCAGTACCGACTGCCAGGGACTTACTCAATACAGACATTAGTACGATGTCAGAACTAGAGTTCAGAATGATGATTTTAAAGATACTAGCTGGGCTTGAAAAAAGCATGGAGG